CAATTATTCACCTCATAACGAAGATTTTTCCAAACAATCGCAACATTATCATTATGATTAAAATCTTTTTTAATGTTAAAATTGGATGAAAAAATTTCAACACTGTCTACTACAGAATTCATGATTGATCAATCCAAAAATTAATATTGAAGATTTTTCACAGCACAACAATAATGTTTTATTTTTTCCAAATATATCATCATTTTCACATTTATCGTTTGTGAAGTTTAAACGAATCAATTGAAAATTATCATGATTTTTTTTTTTGTTTTTTAATGTGTTTGATGACGTTCACATGCATTTTTTTAAAATATATATGATGAATATAAAATCAGCATACCTTTCTTGTAATAATTTTATTATAACAACTTTTTTTTTATTACACGATCGATTATATATCCAAAACAAGTTTGAATTCAAAATCATCAATATTAATAGAATTTAAAAGGAAAAAAAATTTCAACGTGATTATTTTCTATTTAATTTTGTACACACAATAATCTCTTTGACGATCTTCGTTAAAAATAAAAAAAAAAGAAAAAAAAGCAAAAGAATTAAGGGTATGCCAATTCAATTGAAATCATATGTTTAAATCTTTTCTTTTTTTTTCTTGGAAAACCGATTGATCGGTTGTTTTTTTTTCTATTCGCATTTAGTAATAATAACAACAAAATCATTCATTTTAAAAAATATCTTTATTGAATCCTTGAAAAATTTTGTGTAGTTTTTTTTTCCTGAAAAGCAAAAATAATTTTTTTTTCAATAGAAAAAAAAAGTCATCTGAATAATTTTGTGATTATAAATAATTGATCATGATAAACAATATTTGGATTGTTGATAATATCCTATATTTAATTCAAATAATCATTTTGTTTTAAAACGTGCGTGGTATGAAACGAATATTGACAAATTTTGGTCGTAAAATTGATTCAGAATTCATGGTAACATTACCAACATTATCACCAGATTCTATACGATATTTGGATAATAAATTGGCCAATATAATTTTTTCTTCTTGTAAAGTAAATTTTTGTCCCAAACAATTACGTGGTCCGGCTGAAAATAATACAAATGCAAATGGATTCATACCAATAATGTTCAGAATTTTCGATAAAACGATCAAGCATAAAACGTTCAGGTTGCTGGAAATATTTTGGATCTGGTTGAATCGAATAAAGTGACAATAAAACCGATGTACCTTTTTGGTATCACCAGATTCGGTTCAATTTCAATGGCAACATCTATATTTGAAAAAAAACTTTCTATTCGATGTTTTTTTTTTAAATAATAATTTTTATTTTCAAGAATTTTTTTAAAGTACATATTTATATGATATATAATGATGATGATGATTGTTTTCTTCAAAATTAAAAAAAAAATTATCTGATATTCTACACTTGAATGTGAATGAAAATGATTTTACAAATCAGTAAATTAGTCAATG